ACCGTGTAGATGGCAAAAGGATAGTTTTACTAGACATTTTGGGTTAACAAATAAGAAATATTTTAAGTACTAATTTCACCAATCTCTTTTACTCTGTTGAATGTGGCCATTAAAAAATGGGAAGTTCCATGTGAATTGGATAATATTTCTACCGGACAGCAGAGCTCTAGTGGCTGCCAACTTCGGTCAGTACCACAGGGTTGCCATCCACCCCCACAGAACCCACTGCCATCGAGCCAGTGCTGACTCAGAGCACCCTGTAATAAAAAGCAATTTAGATGAAGCCATCAACAAATTCCTGTCACAGGACTCACATCGAAACTTCCTTGTAGTCTTTTCATGCACAGAGCAAGATTTCAGAACTTTAGCACTGCTGATTTATTTCTGGACTTCCCTTTTACAATTCAAAGAGTGAAGATACTCATCCCTTGCATCCTCTCTCAGAATAAAGTCGTTTAAGATCCTTTAGAAGAATCCTTATAACTTTGTAGTTATTGAATATTCACTGTGTACTAAGTCTTTTATATGTACTCATTTAATCCTCACAATGCAAAGCTACCACTGTATTATTCTTTTTCACTATTTGCATTTCCCATCCTCTGAACGTCAAAGGAGTGGTATTAGTTATAAAAGGAGGCGGGGTGGATGAGAGCAATGCCTCAGAGGCTACCAACGCACCAAAGACTCGATGATCCCGTTCATGGTTGCACTGATCCCTGTTGAAATGGACAACTGCTTCAACAGTTCGTAACACAAAATAAGACATTTCTGCAGCGTTTCAGAGTCATTCTAAAAAGAAAGACAACAGTCACCATTAGGAAAAGCATCTCCACAATTTCTGCAAGAAAATGGGACATCATCAATAGAGTTAAAAGTAAAATGATAAAATGACTATATTTAACAACAAAATCACAAATTATCTCAAAATCCCAATTAATGGCAAAATCATATCTTTAAGTTTCAGGATCTAGATTCTTCTTAGCTAAAGGTCAGCTTTCTATAACTTAGCGAAAAATACTGGACTACGTAATCATTGAAGAAATGTATAAATTCATTAACCAGAATAAAAATAATAATATCATCTTATACATATATCTAGGATCTCTATGAGAATGTAACCCAGCTCTCCTCTCTCCTACGATTCAGATATGCTTAAATGAAATGTGTTTGATCTGATTAAGAAGTTTTAATACGAGGAAGTCACAAATTCAAGTAGCACTGATACAGAGAGCTTCTGTATGGGAACATCAGCACAGCTGACCTGGGAGATTTCTAATGTGGTCAGGTGCTACAGAACCAAACACCAACATCAGATGACTTCAACGGCCCGCCAGGCCTGAAATGGATGCAGAGCCCACAACCTGTTTCAAAATCTCAACTGTACCATGGCTTCTCTGCACTCTTAGCAGGTGACCCCACTTGCTGGTTTACAGAAAAGCCTAAGCCATTTGACCAGCACACCCTCAATGTCTTGCCAATAAAGCTAAAACCTCATGAGCAAATTCTAGCATATTCCTTCTCCTCTTTGCCATTATTCCCTCCATCTCTACTTGAGATTCAGATCCCTTCATACTTCCTTTTCTTGAATGATCTACTTCTCTCACTAGCGGATCTTTCCCCAAAGCATTCATTCATCTGTCATATTGCAAACCAAATCCACATCAACACCTGCAACTCCGTTTCCCTCCACCATCACTTACACTCAAATGGTCCACTAGTACTTCCCACTTCCGCTTTCCTATGCTACAAATCTATAGCATCTACTGCCCGTTTGCTTTTGCAAAATTGCTCTCACCAAGCTGGGTTAAGACCTTGTAAAATGACCAGCTTATCTGTCAGTTTTACTTGTCTCCTTTCAGTATCCAACACTTAGTGGATACTGAAGGGCCCGGCCCTCTCTTTGTTTTTCTTCAACCATTTTTCCTCTGGCTCCAATGATCCCACACTCTCCTGTTTTTCCTCTTTTCATTCTAATTGCGCCATTCTAGCTTTCTTTTGTTCCATTTCTTCTACGCACCCTTTAAATGCATTTCCTCAGAGTGTAAGGCATATTCTCACTCTACATCACCAACCCCTGAGCTACATACACTCCCCCTGAGCGATCTTACCCACTTATACCACATCATTTACCAATGAGCTAGCTCAGTTTTGTTCTGATTTTCAGATTTATATATACAACTCGCTACGAGACAATTCTTGGAAGTTTCATAAAACAGAACAAACAAAATGCACCACCATTAAGTCAATTCCAACTCGTAGCTACCCCAATACAGAGTTTCCAAGGCTGCAGATCTTTATTAGAGCAGACAGTCTAATCTTTCTTCCGCAGAGTCACTGGTGGGTTTGAACCACCCACTTTGCAGTTAGTATTCAACACCTAGCCTAGAGCGCCACTAGGGAGTCTTTGGATGTGCATACTATACCCACCCCACTGCCAGTGAGTCGATTCTAACTCATAACAACCCCCCTGAGGGTTTCTGAGGCTGTGACTGTACGAGAGCAGAGAGGCTCATCTTTCTCCCTCGGAGCGGCTGGTGGGCTCCACTGTTGACCCGGATAGAGGTTCTCAGCCGAATGCGTAACCCACTGTGCCACCAAGGCTCCACAGACACTCTAAATGCCCACTTCTGAGAGGGACTTGGACTCATTTTATCCAAATCCCGTTCCCCCTCCTATGACTTCTCAGAAAATCTCACTGCTAGGGACTCAATGGCAATTTTTTAAAACTTGATTATTCAAATCAAAAGGCCTAGGAAATACATTCTTAACTCTTTCTCATCTGTTTCAAATCCCTAATTATCCTTCGAATTCATCCAGACTTTCTATATCCATCATCATGCGCTTACTCAGGCCACCATCATCTAAAACTATTGCTGTACAGCCCCCCACTTAGTTCCGATCCTGGACTTTAACAGTCCTAATCCATGTCCCCAACCATAGAGATCTTTCTAAGACTTTCATTCCAGCACTCAAAAGCCTTTAATGGTTGTGCATACCATTTGGATAAGGTACATGTTCCTTAAAAATCCCTTGTTAATGTTGTTAGTTACCATCAAGTCAGCTCTGACTCAAGAAAGTATTATAGGACCTGACACTTAATTTTTCTTCATATTTCATCTCTTACCAACACCCTCCAATCTTCCAATTAATTCTCTGGTCATGTGGATCTGACGCTTTTAGCATAACATGCACTCTTTAACTTCTGGACCTTGACAAGTGCAATTCATTTTGCCCTGAAAGCTAATAATTCAGAAAAGAGAGACAGACAGCAGAGTGTGTTAAAAGCAGAAATGTAGTCTTGCTCTACCATCTATGTGGCTTTCCTTGGGAAAGGTGCCTGTCCCTCTAAAGAAGACAATAACCTTCCCAGCCTCTTAAGCTTATCATGAGAAACCAAATGAATTGACACTTGTGAAGAGCTGAAAGCCTTTACTAGCACATAAAAAGTACTCTGTAAGGATATGCTTTTGTTATGATTTATATTCAACTGTCAAGTTCAAACATCACTTCTTCTGGAGAAACCAACATTATCCAATCTTTCTATGGAACCCTTATACTGACCATAATATTTACTATGTTACGTGTGCCGAGGGTACAGCTGTCCTACAGGAGAAAGATGAAGTAGCTGTCTGCTCTCATAAGGACTGACAGTCTTTGAAACCCTACAGAGAGGGTCTCAGGGGCAGCAGGTTTTTAGGTTTGGTAAAATTAAGCTACAATCAGTCATAGCCCCGAACAGGGCAAGTAGACACGACAATGGCCACAGCAGTCAAGTTAAAGAGGTGGCAGTGATCATGCTAGACAGGCCACCTTTGCTCACATTTCCGTGATATAGACCTAGAGCTTATAGAATTTTAAACATTGAAATGTACTTCATGTTTTTTACTTGGATAAAAGCAAGTCCCCAAATTTAAGTGCTTATAACAAACCATAGACTTTTACAAGCAAAAGAAAAAAACTACTATTGATGAAAATCAAATTCAGGCACATTCATTGAAAGGTGGTGTGTTGGGGTGGGGTGAAAAGTTGCTCAGGGACATAGCCTAGGAAACTCTCATCAAACTCTACATCCACGGTTCAAGTAGCCACTGATCAAAAACATCGGGACTAGGAGAGGAGAGGCAATTAAATGGTCACCGCAGCCCCTCAGAGTCGAAGAGGGGGCACAGAATTGTATTTCTATGCATTGGATTCTCAAGCTCACAGCCACCGAGTCAGTGCTGACTCATAACAACCCCTTCTGGGTTTCTGTGACTGTCACTGTTCACAGGAGAAAGCCCCGTCTTTCTCCTGAAGAGCTGCTGGTGGTACTGCCAGCCATGAGGACCACAGCCCAATAGGCAGCCACTATACCACCAGGGTCCCTTGTACTGGATTGGGTACTAGACGTAATCTATACATGACTTAAAGTATATAGGAGGATGTGCGTAGGTTACATGTAAATAATTTGCCATTTTATATAAAGAACCTGAGCATCCTAAGATTTTGGTATCCAGGGGTATCCTGGAACTGATCCCTCTCAGATACTGAGGGGCAATTATACAATACTCTTCCCTGCCCAGCATTTCCTTTATGAGAACAATTAGTACTTCCCAAACCAGAAGTGCAACCAGAAATGAGGCTCTTTTCTTCACTATGTTTTTAATGTCTTACTGAGTCTCTGAGATTAAAGTTAATATTATCATACTCATTATTATTCTCTTACGTTTAAAGGCTTAAGAGGAAAGAGTTTATTGAAGAAATTAGTTTTCAAACAAAGCTAAGTTAAAAAAGAAATGCTGCTAAGCATGTAGTAAATTTAGTCAATTCTATTAACGATAGTACAATGACTCCATTTTTCCTAAAAACCTAAGTCATTACGCTTTAACAAACCCACGTGAGGAAATGGTTGCCATGGCAGCTCTTTCCCTCGCGCACAAAGGCCGTGGGTCTTCCACAGCTGAGGGAAGCATGGCTGCATTGCCTCCATGCCACTCTGAACCCAGACCACTGGTAGGCGAGTCCCGAAGAAAGGGTTCTAATGTCAGAGACTAGCACAACAGCAAATTCCTTGCTAAAAGAATTAAACCAAGGCCAAGCAGCAAAGAATCAGCAAGGGAAAAAAATCCCTTTCATTCTAACTCAGAGTGACCTAGAGCCCTCCACTGGAACCAATTCTTGCAGCTTTCTGCAGGAAGAAAGTAAACCAGGTAGAGGTAAGCGGCTTGGGTGTGGAAAGACAAACCTTCTCTATGTGGACTTCTTTAATTTCAGGTTGTTCTGTCTCTTTCAATAGGCTGATTTTGGCATCTTCTAGAGCTTTTAGTTCTTCTTTTAGTATTGATGCCTTATTAAAATCCTGGGCAGCAATGCAATTCTCCAAAGCTTCTTTTGTCTCAATAAGTTGAACTTTTATTTTTGCCATCTAAAGAGAGAAATTGTGTTTAATCAACAAGCAAAAACACATTAATATGAACATCTGTAACAATCTAAAAAATATTACTTATTATTTATTAACACCTCAAAATAGAGGCTGGCATGGACAGCTAAAATTGTCATCTTCCTGAAACAAAGAGGCGCATCTTTCAGATGAAGTGGTAACATTTCAGATATTTATAGTTTAGTCAGTAATTAGACTTTATGCAAACAATTTCTAAACTGCATAGCAAGAGGAAATAACTACCTTACACTCAAACATTTATTTAATTTAGAAGAAATTTACCTGGAGTTCTTTCTTTCTTGCATCAGCTAAGTCCTCATTAACAGCAACAGAAATAATGGGTGCCCGAATCTCTGAGATAATTTCTGTAACCTGGTAGTAATGAGAGATGTTTAATTCAGAGTACATGCTTCCAATTCATGCTCGGTATCAGCAAGTGATCTCAAACTGCTACAGTAAACAACAACAAAACCTCAAGTGATCCTCTGACACACTGACAAATAAGAAGAGGGGGTGGCATAGGGGTTTATAGTCTGCTGCAAACCTCAGAGCTGAACCTACCAGTAGCTCTGCAAAAACAAGCACGTCGAACTGCTTCTGTCAGACTACAGCCAAGAAAACCTACACACTAGTTCTGTTTACTAATACACACATGGGGTCACAATTCTATGGAGACTCACAATAGCGATAAATAGAGCAAAATATACAAATGGAAACACACGTTCTCTCTAAAATACTTCTGACTCCTGCTCTAGAGGGAGGGCAAGAAAAACTAGACAATACGTCTGCCTAAAAACTCTCTGAATGATAAGTTAACCAGTTCCCAGATGTCAAAAATTATGTTTAAAGAACAGAACACATGATTATGGTGCCTGAGATTAGACATTATAAGCCCAAATCCTCTGCCTAAAATCTTCCATTTCCCTTGTTAAGCTCCAGGTGAGTTAAACACAGACATCAGAAGTCTTTTTCACATTTTCTATTCTTACAATAGCAGAAGGCAAGACACTCTTTTCAGAGCCGTTGGCAGCCTAGACTCAGCCAACTCGGGAAAAGTCAGCTTCCTAGCCGGAGGTACACTGGCAGGGGCTGAGCAAGCTGCAGGTCAAGAGGGCTGAAGGGATTTCTGAATAGTGTCTACCTAGACAGAAGGACCAGGCAAACCTTTCCCTTATCCAGAAAGTTTCTGATTACCAGCTCTAGAAACTCCATAGTGCAGGTGCGCCAGAGACAATAGCACTTAGTACTATAAAAGATCCTTTTCACTTCTGGGTCTTTCACACATGGCACAAAGACAGAGTTTTCATCATTACTTGTATTTCACAGGCAAGCAAAAAGCCAGAATGTCAGGAGGAATAAAGACGCAGGTATGTGGGAGTTGAGTCAGCACTCGCTCTAATGCGCAGTGTCTCCTGGGCAAAACAGCATCTGTCTTGCCACCTCTTCCCAAAACAGCTCCGTTTCAAATTGATCCACTACAATAACAGGCCATGTTAAGAAGAGAAGGAAGGAGATATTTTAAAAGTATACCTATGAAGGGGCTTCAAAATATTCATAAGGAAATTCCATTATCTTTTAACTCAAATTTTCCACAAGCTTTATGAAACCCCTTTGTAATATACAGAATATATGATTTGTTCCTAAGAAGTTTATCAACTTGTTGGAGAAAGAAAATGAAATGCCAAGTGAAAAGAAAGAAAGCAAAAACTTGTCAACAGAATGTAAGACAGTCCTTATATCACTGGCCTCTTATCTAACAAGAGTGGGGGAGATGGCTTACCACTTGAGTCCTCTTATTATCATCTGTAATGATGTAGAGGAGCCTCTCCACAAGCAAAGAAACGAGGGAAATTGGGGTTGTGGGTAAGGTTAGAATCTCTTGCATGATAGCCAGCAGTCGTTTTCTGCAGTCAAAAAGAAGGCATGTAACTGAATACCATGATGCAAGCGGAAGCACATTTACTCTCGAATATTTTACCCACTCTGCAAACTTAATTGCATATCTCAGTTCTTCTATGCATGTTTATCATTTTAGGTAGTTTCACTTTAGGTCAAGTGTTCATGTTCTTAGAAAAATAATTTCTATAAATAAAAAATCAATTTAAAAAAATCAATGTTGAAATGAAAAAACAGAAGTGAATCTGACTTTTTCAATAGGATTACTAGCCCTCTATGGATTAATAAATACAAACAAAAATTTTTAACACCTAAAGGAAAAGCCTACACACATGTGCATAAAAGGAAAGAGAAAACTTTTTATATTACTTTCAAAGCTATGTTAAAAATATTTATAAATCTGAGGTGACCAAAAATTTCATGGAAAATTCCCATTACCTTTTAATTCTATTTTCTACCAGTTTTTGAAGTTCCAATAGGATTACAGTTTAGTATAGAAAATCAAAAGAATAAATCAGACCAAATGTTAACATTTAGACCTACCTTCCACCTTCCTCATTGGTATCCAGAGACTTAATAATTAGAATCAACTGTTGACCTATGAACTCTTTTGTCATCAAACTTCCAATATAGGCAATATCACCTCTCTGTTCATCGTTAACAACTGGAATGCTCTGTATATAACTAGAGGAAGCAAAATTAATAAAATGAAGCATCTGTTGAAACTAGCAAACAGGAACTGATTTCCATTAGATTAGGTAAGAAAAAGTCTGTTCTATCCAAATAGGGTGTTTGTGGGTATGATGGGCTTTTGTACACAAACAAACTAGAATCCCATGTATTTTTAAAATATACTTTCATAAAAGATTCTGTAGGAAAATCTCAAAAGGTACACATTTTTAGTGTTCACATTGGTAACTAAGTATATTTCACTGTCACTAGCATAACCCCTATTACAAAGCTCTAAAAATTAACTTAGTCATCAAGATCTTGTCTTGCTTCAACATGTCTGATCATCCCAATGTTCTGTTTAAAATCAGAGTAACAATACTAGTCCTTATGCAAGTGATTCATGAGTGCAGTGAGTAACCTCATCTAGGTTACTATATTCCAGAGTTACCAGGGATATCTCCCTTGTGCATGGAACAAAAAGGCAACTTAAAAAAAATAATAAAGGGTTAAGTTTAGACAATAAGGTATCTTTTAGTTATAAATAAAATGAAAAATAATCCTTGTGATAATATACCACTTAAAAAATTACCAACAAATAATCAAGATATATGAACTGCAGAATAATGTAGCATGAGTAAACTGACCAGTATATTATAAAAGGATAGCCAATAGTTAACAAAAACTCCTACAGCTCTCTGGTCATGACACTAGGAACTTCAAGGTATCTAAACTCCAATCTTAACCCAGGCTCTAAAACTCACTACCATGGGGTTGATTCCAATTCATAGGACGGAGTAATTGCTATGGAAGCAGACAGCACATCTTTATCTTGCAGAGTGGTTATCAAAGAAAGCAAACCCATGGCCATCAACCCAATTCTGACTCCTAGTGAACCGTTTCCAAGAACGGAATTCTATATGGTAGCAGACAGCCTCATCTTTCTCTGAGGGTCGGTTTGCACCACCAGCCGATGGCAGCCCAATACTCAACCCACAGCACTGCCAGGATTTCTTTCAGAGTGGTTAGTGGTACTACAAAAAAGCTCCAGGGCTAATAATTATTCTAAAAATCAACAGATCAGTAGTTATTATTTTCTGACAGACTAATCTTACCTTCATCTAAACTCACCATTGACTCTCTCCCACTTCCTCACGTCAGCATTGGTATAATGTATAAATAATTGGGGATATTTTTTGAAGTGAATTATAAAAGTAGTCATTTAATTAGCAAACAAAAAATCCTACACCCCATAAATATGAATTAAAATCTGCCACCAATTGTCATTATCATAAAATTAGCTTATTTTATTCTTTAAAAGGCAATCATTAAGATTAGGAAATCACTCAAGAAATGCTTTCCCTATGTCTGGCTACATAAGATAGGCAGGACGAACAGTCCTGAGGAGAAAACCAGGGAACCAGTGGTTGGGGCAGGGGTTCAAGTAGAAAGAAATTGTTCTGGAAATGTTGGTGGCAACTTTTGTATAAGTGTGCTTAATATTGTTATTGAATGATGCATTGTTATAAGATTTGTAAGAGCCCCCCAATAAAATGATTAATTTTTTTAAAAGCCTTTTAAAAAATATGCTCTTACCCACAAATTTATACGCAAGGTAGCTTTTTACAATTCAAAGATTCCCTTTTACTTACTGTTATTGGAAAGGCCTCAACTAATACCTCTGTCTTCCAGCTTTTTAAAAGAGCCTTCCTGGTAACATGGGTTAGGCATTGACCTACTAATCATATGGTCAAGGCTTCAAACCCTTCAGTTGCTTGATGGGAGAACGATGAGGTTTTCTGCTCCCATAAATAGGGCCACTGAATTGGAAATGACTTGATGGCACTGGGTTGGGTTTTTGATCCCTTTTTGTGCTAAGACCTCAGGTACCAAGAAACTAGTTTATGTTTGAATTCTTAGTCCCTGATTGTCCTGCTATGTAAAATGTCTGAAAACATATTCCAGATATTATTGGGGGAAGAAGGATGAAAAGTCCAATTTAATATTGTTTCTATACCTGAGTAAACCCTTCCTGTCTAGTGACACTCCTCCGAATATAAAAAGTATTCTACTTATGTAGACTTCAACCACTAAAACTAAAAATTCAGAAAACAAGTGCAAAGACAAAAATGATTTCTTTCCTAGCTCGTAGCTTAAGGGGCACAGACAATGGAAACCGAGCAGCCACGTTCCCTACAGGTGGATTTTCAGAAACTGAGACTTCTTCCGTCTATATAGCAGTCCTTCCAGGGAGCTCCCACTTTATGCCATTAACACACTTAATATTACCTCTTGTTTTCCCTATTGTCTCTAGGCATCTGTCACTTTGATATTAATGACATCTTATCAAGAATTACATAAAATTCATTCCTTAGGAAACATTTCAACATGGCCTAAACAGCATAACAATACTCTAATTAGATTCACATTTCATGATTTTATTATGAGATCAACTGAAATATTTTCAAATCGTCTCACATTTGACCTCTTGAAACTGGATGCGGGATTTTGCATGAAAAAAAATCATACGCTTTCATAACTTTGTTCCCTAACTTCTATATGGGACCATTATAAGCAAAAGTGGCCTATTATATTTCATACAAAAAATATTGGGATCAATAATTCATGCTATATGGAGCTAGCTTGAGAAAAGACATGATAAGCAAAAATTCACAGAACTGCACACCAATGTCCACCTATCTGAATCTATCCATCCTTTAGCCCAGCAGTTCCACTTCTGGGAATATATTCCCCAATATCATAAATACACTTCAAAATGTACAAGGAAATTTAATGCACCTTTATTAACGTATGAGTTAGTTAATTGTGCCAGCCTGGCCGATAATCACATGTGGGGCTAATTGAAAGGCGGAGGGATAATTGGATGGTGAGCCTCGCCTTTCTAGTTCTCCGGTCTCTTGTTTTGTGATGGTTGCACTGGGTGCAGCTGCCTTAGCAGTTCCCTGCTTCAGCTTGCAAGATTGACTTCCTACAAGACATCCCCAAGGAGAAGCTACATGGACCTATCCCGATGCAGCCCTGGGTGCTGGAGCAGCCGTGTGGAGACCCCTGCCAATGCTGAGATGCTTGTTCGTTCACTGACTCAGCTTTCCTCCTGCAGTCGGCATCGTTGCCTCTGTTTTGTGAGGTGGAGGACTTTGTGGACTGGTGTTGGGTTAATGGGTTAATGTTGGACTTGTGGGCTTGGGCAGCATTGGGTTGGATGTTTTCGTGATGCACATTTTCTTTACATAAAACTCTCTCTTATACATGAGTTGCTGTGGATTTGTTTCTCCAAAGTACCCAGACTAATACAACGTACTAAAGTGAAATACACTGAAAATACCTTAAATGTCCACCAATAAGGGGCTATATTAACATTACCACCATACTACAGAAAGTTATGTTGTTAAAATGGGATACATTTTATATGCACACATAGTGATCTGTTATCAATAATTTTAAGTACATATTATATTTTCAGAAGTCCTTTATCCATTTAATATATGTATAGATAGATGCCAGGAAGCCCTGGTGATGTAGTGGCTACGTGTTGGGCTACTAGCCACAAGGTCAGCAGTTCGGACCCATGAGCTGCTTCAAGGAAGAAGAAAAAAAAAGGCTTTCTACCCCCACAAAGTGTTACATACTTGGAAACCCAAAGGGACTATGAGTCAGGATCAACTAGATGATAGTGAATTTGGGGTTTTTTGGGGAGTTTATAGATAAATGCAATGAGAGAAGTTTGAGTATATACACCCAAATTGTTTAGCGACTGAAGATTTTGACACTAAAGATTCAAGGGAAATAAGAGATGAAAGGGGAAGTTCCACATTTTAATGCTAGATAGTTTTGCATTTGAATTCAAACAAAAATATACTCAGATTTTATCATTTTTATAGTGAAATTAAGTAGAAATGATAGTAACAACATTAAGGTGTTTTTTAAATTCCATAAAATACATTTTTAAGCCAGGTAGTAATAATTCTTCTTTAATAAGGCATCCAGAGATCCACACTGCAATTATATGAAGAGCAGTCAGAAAATGATGACCCATGTGCCCAATCCAGCTTATCTTTCTGTTTCTGTGTCCACCTCGCTCTCAAGCAAAGAGTGATTTCTATTTTTAAGTGATCAAAATAAAAAACTCAGATGATGGTATTTCATGCTATATGAGAACTGCATGAAATTAAAAGGTCAGTATCCATTAAAACCAATCAAAGCTTTATGGGAAAGCACTCATGCTCAGTTATTTACAGATTGCCTTTGGTAAAGTGGAATCATTGTGACAGAGATTACACGGTCCAAAGACCAACAATATTTACAGTCCATCACATAAAAGTTTGCTAACAATGTGAAAAAGTAAAACCACCCTCATTTATTAATTCAGAGGAGAAATGTTCATAATGATATCTGAACAGTTTTGAGAAAATAACCCTCAAAATATTCACTCTGCTCTTTCCACATATTAATCAGCACAGGGTATTTTGCAGAAAGACTCGGGGTACAGACCAACCTACCCCTGCATGTCCAAAAGGTGAATGTTTAAATTATTTCCAATCAAGCATGGTGTTGATGGAAGGGATTGGCGGATGATCCACACAGCAACACAGTACAGTCTAAATCAGTAGAAGAAATTTTACCTCAGTAAATACTCTGCATACACCACAGGTTCTGGCAAAATCTGCTCTAAAAACTCTTCACCTTCATCTCCTTTTGATTTCAAATATTCGCAAAGGACACGCCAGTACAAGGCAATCTCGGGAGTCAGCGCTTCCATAGGGATCACCTGCCTTCATGTGCAAAGGAGACGAAGGAAGAAGGAAAGTCTCAATAGCAGTTAGAAATAAGCACCAGTGGCCTGATTCAAAACTACCATCCTTTGGAATCACAAGGTCACTCACATGAATATACATATAATGGAAACGTGGATTAGATATTCCCATCAGAGAGTAATGCAAAAATCAAAGTAGCAAAATGGTGATGGGGAGATAGTCTGTGATAAAGTTATGAGTTCTCATACCAGAAAAGTAGAAGAAAAAGAGGTGCTCATCAGAGTAAAGAATATAAAGAGGGGTCTACATAAGGGACCCGGGAGTCCGGGGCCTCGCGGTTACACACTGGGCTGCTAACCGAAAAGCCACAGACACCGCCAGCTGTTCCATGAGGGAAAGACTAGGCTTTGTACTCTTGTAGAGTTCGTCCCAAGGCAGTTCTACCCGGTCCCATAGAGGCTTATGTACTGAAATAGGGAGGGGGGGTGGACTCAATGTAACTGCAAACCTTCTTCAGTAGCATCCCATTTCCGAAACTGAACTTGTGACATACCTGGCATCATTGTTTCTACAGATCCTCACGAGTTCACTTAAAGGAGTCGTGGAAAATATTGCATTGAGAACGGAGACAGCGACATCAGAAGAATTCTCCACATCCAACCGATGAAGCAACATTAAAATATCTCCCTCAGAGAAACGAAACCAGCCTTGGAGAAGATGCTTCTGCGTTGCTTGTTTCACAGCAGCTGTGAAAGCATTTGAAACAGGTCAACAGTCTCCCTCGAGGTCCCATCACCTACATTTCACCTTCTGCAATGGACTGTGATCAGATCTATGTTAACTCAGCGATTGTTCTGATAAAAATGGGTACAGATTGAGAGGTAGAACAAAACATGAGTGGGTAAAAAAACAACCGAGACGATAATGCAAAGGTCACAGAGTGTGAAGTTCAGAGCCAAATGCGCAGCCATTACCTCAGGCTACTACCAAGTCTCTGCATCCTCTCCCCACTGGGTTCCGTGGGCTCCAGGAGGTGGTCCAGATGATATTGCTGTTAGTTGTTGTACCATCCATTTCAACTAGTGGCAACCCCATGAATACCGACAGTTGCCGCTGACTTCATCTACTATCCATGGTTGCTCTTTGCGGCAGTAACTCTTATAAGTAGGTGTCACTGACCAGCCCTACTCTTAGCTTTTTTTATTTTCTTTCTTTTTTAATTTTTGGGGTTTTTTTTAACAATGTTTTCAAACAAACCTTTTTTAGCATTCTTGTCAAGTTGAAATTTTTGAAAAACCATTATTTATTATCCCAGTAAACTGATTCTCTAGATTAACAGGGAAAGCTGGGTGGGAAGAACATGTGGGAATTACACTAGCCTGACATCTAACTGCCATTTCTGATATACAGAACATTCCTATCAAGGTACACACAAAGGATATATAGGAGGGATTCAAAAAGATTCTGGAAAAATGGAGTTAAACAACAACAATGGAATTTTCCCACAAACTTTCTGAAGTCTCCCCAGACAGCTATAAAAAAAATAAGTTCTGTCCTACTGCTGACACAGACTAGAGTGTGCTTTAAGCTAGTTTCCCAGTCTGACATACACAGGGAAATAGAAAAGCATGAACTCTGAATGGCGGGCAATCGGATTCTCTTTTTACATGGCCTTTCTTGCCAAGACCTTGTAACACCCATAAAATGTCTACTGGGACTGTGCAAATAGAAGCAGCAGTCAAGAGCTCAAAGGATATATCGCATTGGGTAAATTCAGCTGCACAAGACTCTGTAAAGTGTTGAAAAGTGAGGACATCATGCTCCGTAAAGCGGAGGGGCAGGGAAGGAGGAAGGCACTCTACGATGGATTGACACTGGTCGCAACAATGGGCTCAAACATAACAATTATGAGGATGGCAGGGGACTGGGCAGTGTTTCCTTCTATTGTAGATGGGGTCGCTGTGAGTTGGAACCGACTTGATGTCATGTGTTAGACAGGACACCTATGGATATATTTTTTATATATATGTATATATATACACACACACACACATACACACACACACACATACATATAGAACACAAGGAAAGATAGCGTTCATTAGTCCACAGAGCAGTAAGAGGGCTCAGTTCAACTCACTTCCGTGAGAGAGTTAATATACTGGCAGTTTTCAACTCACGAGGGCTGTTGGGTGCAAGTCAAAGAAGCAGACAACTGAGTCTTCTATAGGGCAATGCAGGCAGTCCTGCCACAGGCAGCAAACAACAGGGCAGATTATTAACAGCCAGCCAGATGACAGGGTTCGACAGTCCCCAGCTCAAGTGATATATACACCAGCAGTGTGGCAAAGCAGGTCTTGAAGGAACCTCAAACTATAGCGACATGGTCCACAGGTCAGGTGTCCCACAAGTAGTGTTGCTCACAAGTTGAGGCAGAGAACTAGCTAAGGCTGCCGCACACTGGTCCGATCATCAGAGCAAGAGACAGAAAGGTGAGGCTCGCCAAGCCATTTATCTCTTTGCCCCTCAATTAAACTGCAACCTTATTAATCCCACGTGTCTACTGGCCATGTTGGCACACCTAACAACAACATGCAAAAAAATTGCCTGTGCCTGCTGAAAGAATTGGTCCTTTTTTTCATCCTACTAGGCTTAAATAGAGCCAATCCCACAATTTGAAAGAAGTCCTTACTACCATCGAGAGCCAGGAGCAGAGCACATCCTTTGGACCCAGGGTCATTATGCTGAGAAGCTGCTGGACCAGGGACAGCTATAAGACTGGAGAGCTGTAACCGTGGAGGCAACAGCAATACAAGATGGCAGCAGCAGCAGCAGCAGCACAGGACTGGTGGAAAGCAGCAGGGGGCTCACCAATCCACAAAGTGAGATAACTGATCCTTTGGGCAGAAGGCTTAGTGGAGGATTGAGGCGTCTCCAGTTATCAGTGAAGCAAATGAGCTTTGTAATATTTGCCCAAGCAGGGCAGAGGCTGAGAGCAAGGCTGCCTCCTTGCAGGCATGGTAAGACTAGGAGAGGTTGCAAGTTGTCCTGAATGATAAACTGAGCCCTGTCTCCTGAGTTTTTCATGGTATTTCCCTCATAAACTCCATAGTCATGGGTATGGTCTGTGAATTCTGTGTAGCCATTACAATGAATTTTCAGCCCTACCAGAGGAGTAGCAATTCTGTGGGGAGGATGGTTAATGTGATGATTGGTAAAAAGGAGGAAGAGTGGAGATAGATCTGATCTTCCCCTCATAGAAGTTAACTTTGGCTTATGATGACTACCCTCCCACCTATACAACACACCACAATGGGTTTCCACTTTATTAAAATGATAGGCTTATTCTAACTAACTTAGGGCTCTTAATTCATGTACCATAAATGTGACCTAAATATCTACTACGATTTCATATATAAAGATGTATATCTTACCTGATCTGTCATTAAGACCATGTTGAAGAAGCATTACTCTCTGAGCAATGGACATAGCTTTCATATGAACCTTCTCAGCTAAAACCTTAAAGAAATAATAAAAGGAGATCCATTAAATATAATGTATTTTGAGGATTTCATAACTAGTAATAATCTCCTTCATTTATTAACAAAACTGTTTACTCTCTAAACAAACTAATATCTGGCAATCTGACATAAACGATTCTACCTGAATCTCTCCATAAGCATCTCACTTGGAGAAATCCTTATAAGGGGCCAAATATTTTTCAAAAGCACTTTAGAAATAGACTTCTTGTCTTTTAAGAATATGCCTGTCTGGCAAGATATGACAAAATAATAATTTATAAATTATCAAGGGCTCATGAGGGAGGGGGAGCGGGGAGGGAGGGAATAAAAAATGAGGACCTGAGGTGGGGGCTTAAGTGGAGAGCAAATGTTCTGAGACTGATGAGGGCAATGAGTGTACAAATGTGCTTTACACCATTGATGTATGTATGGATTGTGATAAGAGTTGTATGAGCCCCTAATAAAACAATGTTTAAAAATAAATAAATAAATAACATTTTAAAAAAGAATATGCCTGTCAGAGGTGTCAGGTATAGGGGGAAGGAATGGAATGTGTGACTGATCACCTCCATGAGCAACTGCTTCTTTTGCCATGAGACCTAATCAAAACGGGGGAACTGCAGTAAAGAATTTCATATTCTCATGGAATCCAGACTTTCTGGAGCCAAGATGAATAGAGACACCCTGTGGCCCTAAAATATCTTTTAAACTTAAACCAGAAATACCTCTTGAAGTCAACAAGTTTGGTTTAACTAGTAAAATAGGTTTGCCTTGGGCACTGGTGCTCTTTTAAGATCGATCCATGTGGGATCGGGCTGACAATTAAGTCAAAAGTATAGATCGGACTTCATGTTAACTGAGGAGAAACAACTCGGGAGAGGAGGGCAGGGGGGCTGCACAGCTTGAAGAATCTCATCAGCGTCACTATTGTACGTGCAGAAATGGTTGACCTGGTGTTTGTTCTGCTGTGTATAGTTTCAACAATAACATAAATTATTATTTTTCAAATGCCTTCAGAAGACACTAAACTTATTTACCTGATAAGCCAGTTTTCTGACAGCCTCTTTCACATCCCTGGTGCGCCCAACTATTTGGGGCAAAGTCTTGGCTGAAGGTGCAATGCATGATAACACTGCTCGCCTAACTTCTGGATTGGAATCATTTTCAATCAATGTAATATATGCTGAAAATAGGGCAACACATTTTTAGGACACAAAGGAAAAAAATTATAGTTATAAAATAACCCAGAGTTTGATATTCCAAAGATATCACTGTTTAGTCTCACATTTAATTTCAGTTGAAGATTTGTCCCTCCTAACTTTCAATCCAAGGACAGGATGAAACTTTGTCAGTGGACAGGGCCTAGAGAATAAAGTGAGGAAGAAATGCCCTAAAATCTTGAAAACACCATTAAAAGTATGTCTCTGCTCTATCTCAAGAGTTAGAGAAAGTTTAGCATAGCAGGTAGTTAATTTAAACTGCAAGGTCAGCAGTTTGAAACCAACAGCCACTATCCAGGAGAAAGATGAGGCTGTCTAATAAAGAACTGCGGTCTCAGAAACCCAGAGACAGTTCTACCCTGGCCTGTGGGTCACCGTGAGTCAGAATTGACTCAATTGCAGTGAGTTAGAGACTACTTCGAGTTTTAATAAGCCCTAAAAAGAAATAACTTCTTGATTTTACTCCTTGAAACAAAACCCATTCCCTGTATTAAAAGTGTACTCTACCTCTTCTCACATTTCCCCCGTCTTGACAATGAAGTAGGTGCTGACTCTTTAAAACATTTAACTTCACAGTATTATTGTCATAAAATATTAATTACTAAGTTATAAAGATGGACTATAAAGGTAAAATAACAGCTATAATAAAATGATAAAAGAGAGTCTGAAGTATTCCTAGGCTATATTATGGGAGAACAAAATATGACAATCTCTTTGATCCCCAAAGCAAAATCCCCAAACAGAAATGATACTTTAATAAATTAAAAGTATAAACATAAGTAAATTCATAATATTGTCATTGATAATTTTTGTTCAATAAAAGATATGCCCAAAAAAAGTGATATAAGCTCTGTAAAGTAAGGGAAAAATATTGACAATTCATATAACCAAAAGCCTTTTCAGAATGAAGAACTCCACTATATCAGTTAACAACTCAATAGAAACATGAGCTAAACACAGGCATTAAAAATATAATTAGTTATATATATGGAAAGATACATATGAAAATAATGACATACACTGGCATATGCCATACACAAAAAATATATGACATACACCAAAAACATACGAAAAGAATGGCATACACCATACCACCAGCCGGGCAATACCAAGTAGTAAAGGAGCTCACAGATCAAAAAAGACTACTCATTATAAATATAAATATTAAATGGTATAATCATTTGTAGAGTACTTGCACCTCATGTAAAGCTGAGCCTACATAGACATCTGCAAGCCTACTCCTAGATATATACTCTTGCCAAACTCTTAAGCATGTGTATCAGAACCATGTGCAAGGAAGCTCACAGCAGCAATAGTGTTTTTAAGAGCAAAAGAACTGGAAACAACTGGAGGGCCAACCAACATTAGAAAAGAATACTGTTACATTCATATGCATATATGTACAGTAAATAACAAATGTATTACCAGAACTTCAGAAAACTCATCTTAAAAGCAGAATTTGTCCACAGTCTTGTAACATGAATGTTGAGAAATAACGTAACATAAAAAATGCATACACTATGATTATATAGTATATACAACAAAACCCACTTCACTGCTATTTTATGAGTTGATTCTGACTCCTACTGACACTACAGGACAGAAGAGAACTGCTCCCTGGGTTCTAGGGCTCGGGGCTATAAATCTTTAAAGAAGCACGCTGCCTCACTTTCCATGGAGTAGCTGGTGGGTTCAACACCACTAGACCACCAAGGTTCCAGACAGTACAGAATATTAAGATACACACAAATGGTAAAATTATAAATAAAACCAGAGAATAAGTAACATAACATTTAGAATTGTAGTTACCTCTAAGGAAAAAGAGGGGAAAATGCAACTGGCCTCTTAATATTCTAAAGTTGGAAGCTGGCAGTGGCAACGTGGCTATTGGTTTGTGGTTTTTCAACTACATAAATACATGACCTATGTTTTCGTGAGGGGCCACCGAGCTGATTTCCACTCACAGTGACCCCTGTGAGAGAGGGGAGCTGCCCCTACTCTTTGAGGCTGTGACCATTATAGAAACAGGTTCCCAGGTTCTCTCCTGCCGCTGCTGGGCACGTGCATCTGAACTCCTAATCTTTCCATTGTCAGCAGAGCACGTAACCATATGTGCCACTAGGGCTCCTTATATTACTCTTCAATATATACAGCTCATAGTGAAAGTTTAAAATGTTCTCCTCCAGACTCCTTGGCCCTCAAACCGAAACAGTGGTCTGAGTGGCTTAAAGACAAAAGGAGGACAATGAAACCGAAATGGACTCTTGGAACAAACAGGTTCGCTTTAAACAATAACACACACACACAACGTTCAAAGACTGAGCATTTAACAAAATCTAAATAAATCCGGGGGTGGGGGGAGGAATTTAGAAAGCTGCACATACCATTAACCACTGGACAGTCCTCATTTTTGGGATCCTGAAGTCGGGAAAGAGCCAGGACTGCCTGTATTCTCACATTTGGAATCTTATCTTTCAGTCTAACAAGCATGGCTTCATTAATTTTATCAAATAGATCATCATCAATCTGAGCATTTTCTGGCATGCTTCCCAAGAGCTTGTTTATTAGCTGGCACGTGCGAAATCTGACAGCATTGCTATTTGCTTCATGAGACTGAAACAGAAGCACAGACTAGGATGTATTCATGGTCACATACCATACCATTCCTACATGATAGGAGATATGTTCAGCCCTCAAGAATTTACATGTCTTTCATTTCTTGAAACCATAAATCTTGAACCTCATATATACTAACTACACATTTTATAGTCTATAAATAAATTGAGAAGCATTTGCTAAATTATAAAATCATATTATATTTCTTCTGATAGAACAAGTTGCCTGTCAAAACATATGTTGTAAATCCTAAAACTATACCTCCAAGTCTGTGGTTATAACTCTTTATGGGAATAGGTTGTTATTGCTATGTTAATGAGGCAGGATTAGTGTATGGTATGTTTTGAATTAATCGCTTTTATGAGATTAAACAAGCAAGTGAGCCAACAAAGATGGGGTAAGACAGGTGCCAAGACACATTAGCTGACAGAGAGTGAACCTTCCATATTCCAGTCCAAATTCAGGTGCTCTGAATTTAGACTTCTAGTCTCCTAAACAGAGAGAATAGATTTGTTTCAGCACACACTGGGGTCTTCCTGATCCAGCCCAGCGGAGAACTAAGATACCCTTTCCCAGGAACTCTTGTTTTCCTTCTACTCTAAAGAAGTCATTTAAAAACAATGTCTGAAATGAACTTGGAGTGTCACATATGTCTAAATATTGTTCTTGAATCACAGACTTCAGACTTTTATCTTCAACAGAAAGAAATGTGCAGGCTTGCCATTCATAAGCGCCATCAGTTGGCGGCAGGAGTCATGTAGGTAAGACCCCCACAACAATCATTTAGAACCTGAGAATCAGGATTAACAGTTAGTTACGAGGTCAGTTAAGTGGCTACAGTTCAAATATGCAGACTTGAGTGGCTCTCAAGATGGCTTCACGACGGCTCTGCAGTGGTCCTTCCTGCATAGGGTCAGAGGCCGGCAGCAGTAGGCGAAGTTCTCTCTACAGAGAGAGCCGGAGATGGTGGGGCGGGGCGGGGTGGGGTGGGCTCTTGCCTTCTCTTCCTTTCTCTCAAAGCTGAAACCCACAGTGTATGTGTGCGTGTGCATGTGCATGTAAATGCATGTGTACATGTACATATGTGAGCGTTTCAAAAAGCTGGAGGAAAACTCCACTATCTTAATTCCATGTTTCCACAATTTTTTTTAAGTTTCCTTCCCTCAAATAGTTAACTTCAGCCTCTCACAATAAAGGCTGCATAATGTCATATTTACAGAGCTAGAATGTCACCTTTTCCCTTAGGGTTGAAGATTAGGTGATTATTTGCAATTTACCTAGTGTCTCAGAGCTACCTAGCAGAGATGGAATTTTATGCGAGCTCCTTGGTCCTCTCATGCATGTGCTGAGCCAATGAGGGGAAGTTTCTATTACACTCTGTATATGACAAACCAACTGAGGGAGGATTAACTGTAAGGCCATACTTACGTTATTGCTATTTGCCTTACTGCACTTATTGGAAACTGAAGTTTGTTTGGGTTTTCTTCATTTTTGTTTTTTTACAAATTGAAGATCTGTGGCAACCAACATGGAACAAGTACGTTGGCAGCGTTTTTCCAAAAACATTTAGAAACATTGCTTGTCACAACACATGGTACACTTTGTGAAATCTCACACTAGTTCAAGCTTTTTCCTAAGTCTACTACACATTTAAGAGACCCCGGTGTAACTCATGACTCCTTTGCAGTAAACTGACCGAGGGATGAATGGCAAGCCTGTACGTTTCTGTATGTTAAAAATAAAATTCTAAACACTCTATTGCTTATTTAAATTTTGTTACATAAAAATACTACACATGAGACAGACATTAAAATTTAATTCTGGAGCTATTTTAAAGGCCCACCTTTTTTCCTAATGATAGATATTGCAATCACAGACATTTTCTCAACAACCAATTATTCCATTCTCTAAAACATACACCTTTGCATCCCCTTTTAATATGATAAAATCTTCTATAATACTTCCCCTCAAAGAGCTGGTTTTCTTAATACCTTCAGGAGAAAAGTAAACAAATCATTTAAAATGCCACCATCATCTTCATCATCGTTGTCATCCTCCATCTCTGATTGGTGAAATGAAGTAGCAAACTTTGCTGCAAATTCTATTACCCTCTCCACAGCTGGTTCACGTTTATAGACCACCATAGCATATTTAAGGTAATGAATGAACTCCTCATTAAACACTGTTTTATTATCCATCTGAAAAGACAAAAGAAAGTTTGTAAGCTACAATAAAAATCGTTTATTCCCAACATTAGCTTAAGACTATTGAAATTCTAACCATAACTCATTTAAGCTAAAATATTTTGTGAGCTCTCAATTTCAAAGGAAAAGTAAAATTGTATATTTGTTTCTCCAAGCTATAACTTACTTGTCTCATGGTGCAAACAAGCATGAATTTGACAATGAAAAGATTCCTTCAATTAAAAATATCTATCTTTGAATTTTTCAGTGTCTTTAGTATAAATTGAAATACACCAGTCACAAAAAAGACAAATACTATATGATCCTACTTACAAGAAATATCTACATATCGCTTCTCAGCCTTTTGGCTAAGATCAAGTGAACTATCTAGAAAAATCAAAGTTCAGTAGTGGTTACTCGGGGTGGGAGGGAGCTGGAAAGCGGTAAACAGGAAACTCACGGTTTATGGGGAACTCACTGCTTATGGGTAGCTTGTGAAAGGGGATTGAATAATTTACAAATTGTGGTGATGACTGCAGAACATGATGAGTGATTAATATCACCATCATGTACATGTCAAAATGCTGTAATGGCACACATCTCGCTATACAGTATACACTTTTGCCACAATAAAAAATCAGTGTGTCATACATGGAGACATACACATATAAACTCAACTCACTACCATCAAGTTGATTTCAACTCATAGCGACCCTATCTACAGGACGGAGTAGAACTTCCCTGAGGTTTCTGCGACTTTAAATCTTTTCCAGAGCATATAACCTCATCTATTTCCCTTAACTGATCAGTGTATTCGAACTGTTGACCTTATGAGTAGCAACTCAATGAGTAGGCCATTATACCAACAAGGCGTCTTTAAACATAAATATATAGATTCATACACACACATACACACACACATACACACACACATACACACACACAAGGCATTTCAAAAAGTCTAAGAAAAAGTGGAATGAAAAGTTATTGGAACTTTTCCTCAAACTTTTTATTTAAATCATTTTATTGGGGGCTCATGCAACTCATCACAATCCATACATCAATCTGTTGTGCCAAACACATTTGTATATTTGTTGCCATCATCATTCTCAAAACATTTTCTTTCTACTTTAGCCCTTGGTATTAGCTCATTTTTTCCTCCTCCCTCCCCAAATTCATTTTCAAAGAACATATTTCATGAACTATTTTGAAGTACGTTTTCAGTGATAGTATACTACTCGTATGTTTTTAAAAAGAACTAGTGAATACAACTATTATTCAAATGTACACACTAACTAATCACTAAAGCCAGTGATGAAAAAATTGAAATATTCCACCAACTTCTGCAGTCTAAAATCGATCAAATATAAAAGATGGATTAATAGTTACTGGTGACTGAAATGCATAAAGTAGAAACAAAGAGGAAGGGACAGTAGTTGAAAAATATGGCCTTGGTGATAGAAACAAGGTTTGATATGATAGATTTTGTAAGACCAACAACTTATTCTTTACAAATACATTTTTCAACAACATAAACACTGACTATACACATGGGCCTCCCCAGATGGCACACACAGGAACCAAATCGACGTTATCTGTGGAATGAAACGATGGAGAAGCTAAATATCATTATCAAAAGTAAGCCCAGAAACCAACTGAAGAACAGACCACCAAATGCACAAGTTCAAGTTGAAGCTGAAGAAAATTACAACAAGCCCACAAGAGCCAAAATACGACCTTGAGTATATTCAGTCTAAATATAAAGACCCTCTCAAGAATAGACTTGACACATTTAAACAGTGATGGCTGAAGAGCAGACCAGTTGTGGGATGACACCAAGAGCAACACACAGAAGAAAACAAAAGGCCATTAAAACACAGGAAAGGAAGAAAAGAACAAAACAGATGTCAGAAGAGGCTCTGCAATTTGCTCTTGAAGGTAAAATAGCTAAAGCACAATGGAAGAAATGAAAAGTAAAAGAGAAGAATAGAGGTTCCAGAAGACAATGCATTATAATGCAATGTGCAAATACTTGAAGACGGAAAGTTAAAAAAGGGGGAAAAAACACTCACCATATCTCAAGTTGAAAAAGTTTAAGAAAAAATTTTAAGCCTCGAGTGGCAGTATGATAGGATTCTGTGGGCAAAATATTGAAGGACACACAAAACATCAAAGATGGAAGAAATACAGTTACTGTACTTGTACTAAAAAGAATTGACCGAGCATATGATCAAGAACCAATGGTATTGAAGAAAGAAATCCAAACAACACAAAAGGAAATCATGAAAAACAAGTCTCCAGGAACTGACAGACTACCAACTAAAATGTTTCAACAAACTGATGAAGCATTGGAAGCACACACTTGCCTGTCAAGAAATTTGAAAGGCTGCTACCTGGTGGACCAGATGGATCAGAACCACAATTAGGTCCATTCCAAAGAAAGGTGACTTAACAGAATGGAAAAAATATTCAAGCAATATCACTAATATTACATGCAAGTACAATTTTGCTGGGTAATGAAAAAGCAAAGGGAGCAGTTAACAGGGAACTAGCAGAAACTGAAGCGGAATGTAAAAGAGGAGATGGAAGGCATATTATTGCTGACATATTATTTCTGAATCTTGGCTAAAATATAGAATACCAAAAGATATTTATCTGTCAATATTGGTGACTATGCAAAAGCATTAGACTCTGTGGATCATATAACAAACTGTGGATTAACACTGAAAAAAATGGATTTTCAGAACACTTAATTGTGCTCATACAGAATCTGCCCATAGACCCAGAATAGTACAAGGGGGTATTTCATAGTTTAAATTCATAGTTTAAAATCAGGAAGGTGCATTAGGGCTTTCACTATACTTATTCCATCTGTATTCTGAGCTAATAATCTGAGAAACTAGACTATGTGAAAAAGAAAGAGGCATCTAGATAAGAAGACGACTCATTAACAACCTTCCTTACTGAAAGTCAACAGGTCTTGAGACGTGACGATCAAGGACTACAGCCTTCAGTACAGATTATAACCTCAATGCACAAAAAACTCAAATGCTCACAAGTGGACCAGTAGACAGCATCCTAATGGAGAAAATATGGGAGCTGTCAAGGATTTCATGTTATGTGGACCCACAATCAATGCTCAAGAACATAAATAGCAAAACAAACCCCACTACCATCATTCTGACTCATAATAGCAATCCTATATAAGGGTTCCTATATTCAGCTTTGTCAGTTCTTACAGAGGCAGAGAGTTCCATCTTTCTTCCATGGAACAGCTGATGCGCTGGAACAGAAGGCTTCACAGCAGCCCAATGCTTACTGCTCAGTGCCACCAGGGTTCATGCAAGCAGCAGTCAAGAAATCAAAAGATGTGTTGCCTTCGGCAAATCTGCTGCACAAGATGTCTTTAAAGTGTTAAAGTGATCCAACTTGGTGGTGAGGTGGGTGTGGGAGGCCTGGTAGGGCATGATCAAGGGGAATGTAACAAAGAGGAAGTGCTGAAACCCTGGTGGGGACTGAGCATGATAGTGGGAAAGGAGGAAAATCAAGGGAAATAGAAGAAAGCTGGGAGGCAAAGGGCA